GGAACTTCTGGTACTGTGGCTTCAAAAATAAACAAATAATTAAATAATCACAGACTGACCTACTCTGAAACTGTCAAAAAGACATATCAAATTATGTCCTCAAATATTTCTGACTATTTATGCAATCTGGTCCCTGATCCTCCGTTGAGATTAGATCTTATGAAAACATGATTTCCAAATACTGATTTTTCCTAGTATTCTACAATTTTTCTAGGAGCAAATTTGCTAACACTAGTTAATATAAATGCAATGTGCTGCCTGTTTAAAAGTCAGTACCACCATTCTGACTGGAGTAAATCTGCTGAAATATCTATTGGAACTAATCCCTGTTCTTGATGTTGGCTGTACCACTGCCCATCTCCTTCAAAAAAGCCTCTAGGTTTATTTATCCAAAATATTTTGTATCTCCTGCAGTCAAACGCAGTGACAGAAAAAGGGTATAATATGTGTGTCTTGAGTGCTTTCCTGTGTACTCCTAAATCATATGAAATTTCTGTATATCTGCATTACACAGGACACAGACTGAGAGCTAATACAGCTGAAAAGATGCTAGAATCTGATTAAAATTCAAAATCCAGTTGTTTTTCTTTGGTAGGGGTTTTTTGTTTGTTTGTTTGTTTTTGTTGTTGTTGTTGATGGTGTTTTTCCTTTTGTGTTTTTGGTTGGTTGGTTGGATTGTTTTTTCTTGTCTCCAACCCCCCGCCCTCCCTAGTTAAAAAGCTGACTGTTATTTATTTTTCTAACAGGAAAAAAGGAAAAAAAATAGGATAATTTTCATTTGGCTTGCTAATCTTGGCATTAACCCAAGTTATTTCAGAGACTTTTAACAACTGTATTTACAGGTCTTGTACAGTCTGTCAGGTTCCTCTATGGGGTGGCTGTAGAGGACAATTCCTTTAGAAGTCTTGATAGATAAATTTTCCAAGATATAACGGTGGATTGGAGCACTTCAAGATGAAATTTTTTCTTTAGAAAAACAAGAGACTATCATTAGAGACTATCTAAAATATTTCATATTATCATTTTTGAATAAAAATTGTAGAAAGAATAGACCAGAAAATTTTCAAAATTTTGAATTATTTTCTTGATTTGTGACCAAATTAAATGTAAACCCACTGCCTTAACATTTGGGATGAATATTTAATTTTTTTTATCATCCAAATAGTGAAACACTGAAAATGAGGCTTGATTATTGAGAGTGTTACTGATTTTTTTTTTCCCTGTATGCTTCCAGAATTATATTAACACCCCTCCACCCCCCAAGAAAAAGCAGAGTTGGGAAAGAAAAGTAGTAGAATGTAAAATTACAAAAGTAGAAGGCTAATATTTTGTTCCATGTTTTTGTTTTCTGCCTCAGGAAATGTACTGTGTATGAAGCATAATTTACAAAAAAATAGAAAAAAGATTGTTTCTTTGAAGGCAGCAGACAACACACAATTTTTGTAAATATAATATTTATAGGACCTTGCAATTAATTTACAAAAATTTTACATCAAAAATGTATGCTGATGATTTTACTCTTTAGGGACAACAATTGTCTCCTCAGTCATGTTTTCATACACTAAAGGCAATTATTGTTGCTTCTAGCTGTAATAAAAAAATAAGCGAAACAGATAGAAGTGTCTTGGTAGAAATTGAGCTGAAACTCCCACTGTGGAAATAATCAGAAAATTAAAAGCTCTGCAATCTTGCAAATAACATTGCAACTTAATATTATTGGAACATAACATTATTATCTCTTTTTATAGGGAAAACAAACATAAATATATTTTCAAACAACACTGATGTTATGGTTTCACTATTTTGTCTAACAGAGAAGGAAAAAAATGGGAAAAAGCAATAACTGCTTCCAGTTGCATATCAAACAAACAACTGGGAATTTGTGAAAAATTATCAATGGCGGCAGGATTATATTTCTTCTACTGTTAGATCCTTATCTAACTCAGTATACACAGCACCTAAGACACATGGCTCATCTTGCCATCTGATGGGCTCTAAACTAAATTTTATTCATGTTTGGGTCACTTACACTCCTATTAGATACTGTTAGTTTCACAGTCTGAGCAGTACAGTTGAAAATACAAAACAAGGAAAGCACCAAGTAATTTATGTATCCAACTTTGTTTTAGTGTTCATCATCTTGTTCCAACCCTCCTACCATGGGTAGTGACATATTCCACTAGACCAGGTTGCTCAAAGCACCATCCAGACAGGCCTTGAACACTTCCAGGAATGGAGTATCCACAGCTTCTCTGGGAAGGATGTGCTAGCGCCTCCCCACTCTCACAGTGAAAAATTTCTCTCTTATATCTAACCTAGATCTAGTCTCTTTGAGTTATCATAGAATCATAGAATCATAGAATAGGTTGGGTTGGAAAAGACCTCCAAGATCATCAAGTCCAACCCCTGATCCAACTCCAATTACTATATCATGGCACTAAGGGCCACATCCAATCTCTTTTTAAAAACCTCCAGGGATGGTGAATCCACCACCTCTCTGGGTAGGCCGTTCCAATGCCTGATAACCCTCTCTGTAAAGAATTTCTTCCTAACATCTAACCTCAACCTCCCCTGGCAGAGCTTGAGCCCATGTCCCCTTGTCCTGTTGTTGGTTGCCTGAGAGAAGAGACCAACCCCCGCCTGGCTACAACCTCCCTTCAGGGAGTTGAAGAGTTCAAAGCCATTTCCCCTTGTCCTATCACTACATGTCCTTGTAAAGTCCCTCACTAGCTAATCATAATCTTGTATAACTAATGAGCATTTGTCTATGCTTTTCTCTCAAGTAGAGAAATTTACATCAACAAAACTTCTCTTCCTTAAGGATGGATCTACTTTTGAGTCTCTTTCTGCATTCATGCACGCTAAAATACCTCATCAACCACAATGGGCAGCCTCCTGATCTCCCGGGTGTGTGAAAGACAAAAGTCATAGAGCATCTCCAGATCTGCAGTGCTGCCATATTTAGTAATTGCTCAAAATACTGGGAGGAAGTTACAACATCTTTATTGTGGTTCCACACAAGAATTTGAGATTTGAGCCCCAAAGAAGAAGTACACAGGCTGTGGCCTTTGCTGCTACAGTTAGTTTACAAGTTAATGTAGAATGAAGTCACATTCTACAAATCAGTGATAAATGTAATTTGTTTAACCTATATCCCTATGTGGAGAATGGTTTTAAAAGAAGTCATAAATCTCTTTCCTTTCAAAAACACACAAACTTTAGAATCAGAATTGTATGAACAAATATGGAAGGTGACAGGAACCAAACTGAAGTTCCATCTGACCATCAAATGAAAGCCATTTTGCTGCAGTATTTCATGTATAGTGCAGTAAAAGCACCTCCAGATCTACACTGAGTTTTTCAAAGGAAGATCGAAAGGTGTGGATGTTCCTACATGTGTAAAGTATCATTTGAGGTCTCTCTGATTCATAGAAACATGACGTATTTTTGTTTTTACCCTTTGTAACCCAAACACACAGCTTCATGTATATAAACTGCCACATGAAGACATACACATGCAAATACAACCACACATTTTATTTTAGTTTTAGGGGTAATTTTGAAGGATTCTACTAAAATCAAATCAGGACAGTACCTATGCAGGTGAGATCTCAGAGGTCCCTTCCAACCCTGCTGAGTCTAAGATTGTGAATGAAAGGATAAGCCAGGTGGGTATGATACTAAGCTGCATCACTTAAAGCACTATTCCAAAATATTTAGATTGTGTGCTGGGGTAATGGCAGTAAGATCATCTTAAGGAGTTACCTTCTTCAGAGGGAAGTTACAAACTTCAAACGCAGTACCTGACTGAACACATGCTTTCATTTTGCAGTCCCTGGTGGGTAGGTGTGCTTTACTGCTGGGAGGGAAAAGTGTGCACTTGTGCTTATCTTATCTCAGCTTACAGAGATGTGACTTCTAGCACAAGGGTGGTAATTGCTATCTTCATTATTGGTGGTTGTAGGGATATTTTCTATGAATTAGAATTTTATAGAAATCACTCTTGTGTTCACTGCCTTTAGTCCCTAGAGGAACATCTTCATTTTATGAAACATTTGGGGGGGCTGGAAATCAAGGAAAATTGTCTGTTTTTATTGGCTCTAAGAATGAAAACACAGAATTTCTAAGGATTTCTAATACTTGAGGAGGTATTTTACATGAGGAAAGTTTAAACAAAATTCAGCAGTGTAAATCTATACTTACCACTTCTGAAGTGAAAGGATCTGGATTTGAGAGGAATGTAAGAATGCAGGTGAAAAAAAATATGCAGGTGGGGTGCTTCTGAGACACCAAAGATAAAATGAGAAAAAAAGAAAATCAAGTGCAAGAAATGAATGATAGAAATTTAATCCTGACACCTTTATATGGACATCAACATTTTTTAAAAGATGTCCAAAGCTCCTCCTAAAACACAGCCAGTTTGGGAAAGGAAAGGACTGCCTTCTATTCCACGTTTAATTTCCCAGTAACTGGCAATACCTACAGGCATCACTATCTAAAATCTGACAGCATCTAGCATCTAAATATGATAGATAAGAGCCTGGCAGACAGGCAGGGGACTCCCTCCCTCTGTTTATTCATGTGAAATTGGGAGGAGAGAAAAACCTCTACAGGATTTCTTTCAGCTCCACCCCTGTCAAAAGCTGAAACTAATGAGCTGGAAATAGGAAATGTGCAAAATAACTGACACTTCCCTATCTGAACTGCATTCCTTAAGAGTTGTTTTTTTATTACTAGATAAATGCTTTGACATGTGTATTTATGTGAAGTCTGAATGTGATTTAGATACCAACTACCTGCTGAGCTAAGAATATTTGCTTCATACTTAAACCAATATGTTTATTTAAGAGATCTTTAAGTTTTAAAATGCCCTCGGCTTCCAGCTCCGCAAATGGGTAACCTTTGTATGTGGAATGCATTGTGCACTCCATTTGTTATTAATATAAAGTAATATTTTCCCTTTGCTCTGCTCGATTCTTTTCTTTAGGAGTCCTTTTGCTGTAGCAGACTCGTGTGAAAATGTGCATATACATGTTTGGAAGAGGATGGAAAATGCTGATTCTCAGAGCTTCTGCTTAGAGATGATGTCCACCAATCCTGCTTAAATAGCAAACAAAGGGTTTTTGTTGCTCTTGCAGCGAAGTATTTTGAGAGGTAGGGCAAATCTTTTGTTCTGTGTTTTTGTGCATAGCACAATAAGGTTAGAACTTGTGGATATCGCTTTGATTTAAAGAATAAATGGCAATGTCAGTGTGCAGACAAAACAATCTAATTCATGATTTTTATTTGAAAATGCCTTATAACTGAGCTCTGTACTTTCATGGGTGAATTCCTCAGCTCTCTACTCCTTGATTATGCATGTTTAAGGCAGGTATGGCTTTGCTCAACTGAAACTCTTCCCCAAAACAGTGGAAAATTTGTGTAAAATTATACAGCCTTGGCTCCAAATGCAAAAACTCTTTATTTTTTATTTGAAAAATAAAGTACTATTTTCAGGTCTTCTGATCAGGAAATATTTGGAAAGCAGCCAGCAGTTGGAAGGCATGGTCGTGATTCAAAATTTCCAGCCAAAATCAGGACACCTTTTTCAAGAAAATTCATCTTGTAAATAAAATCATCAGTATAATGCAGAGTAATCCCTTCTAGAATGAAGCCCTCTGAATGCAAATGCATACGACAGGATATTTGGGTTCCTGTCAGCAACACCACTGACACATGTGCTCAAAGTCTTTCACTTAATGTATAGAAGAGGCCAGCAATCTGCAATGCAAAGTTTCGAAGGCAATTACTCTTTCTGTTTAATTTAAGCCCACATTCAATTAAGTGGAGCTGAATTGCTCACATCCTTTCAGCCAATTAGTCACAGGCTTAAGTTTTTGTTTTGTTTATTCTTCTTCCCCTGTTCTACACCCCCCTCTATCCCCCCCAAGAAATAATCAGTCCTTGGGCTTCCTAATGAATATAAGCCAAACTGTTAAAACAGGTTTCTGAGTGTTAAGGTTTCAGACAGCAAGTTCTAAGCACCAGATCCACGACAAAACAGGTGCACCCTTTGGAAAACACATGGCATTTGGGTTTGGGGTTCATTCTTGTGGGGGAACCACACCACAACCTTGGGGTGACAGAAAGTAGTGTGGCAGAGAGCAGGAGCTTTGTGCTGAGGACACAACGGCATTCACAGCTGAGCTGAATCAGATTGAAAAGGGACTGTCAAGTGCTGTGCGTGCCATAATTAACCTTTTTCAGGTTTCCTTCCCATCTTTTAAGCAAGCTTTCTCATAGGTTATTATGCCCTAAAGCCCATAATGATATAAAGCTGTGATGATGGAGCACTGACCTCTCCACTCTGCTTGGATCTGACCCATAATATTTTGAGTAGTGGAGATCTGAACATTTGCTAATATTTTCTTACCTTTGCGAGAAGTAAAACCCCAAAAACTCTCTTGTCTTGTCTGTTATATATTTCCACAACAGTGAATGTTAAATGATATTTATTAGGGTGGGGATGGGCTTCCAGAGCTCATTTTTAATATAATGGCTAGTATCATAATTCCTTGAAACTGTTCCCCTGTGGTGAAATAATGAAAAGTAACTGAAAAGAGCTGCAAATGCAACTTCTGAGTGAAGAATTATTTTAAAGCATTCCTCTCCTTGTGATAGCTTAAAATATTTGTATAATAGCATTTGTTGCTCTGTCTAGAGATATAAATTATAAACTTAGCTATAACAGTATCCCTGAATAAGACCTCTTAGGCTTTATGTACTGAGTCCACAGAAACAGCATGATATTGAGCAGGACATTAGTAAGAAATACTCATTGTAAAACACATATTTGACCAGTATATGAATCCATAATCTTATTAAAAATATTAATTGCAAAGATGTCATATAGAGGAATTAAAAAGTAGGATGGGAGGGGAGTCAATTTTAGGGTTTTTTTCTTCTTAAATTTTAGAAAGAAAAAGGTATAAACAACCTGGATGACATGGCAAGGTCCTTAAGCACATACAACATTGTAAGCCACTAATTTCGGTGACACAAAACACACACTTGGAGTAAGCTGAACTGCCTCACTGAATTGGACCTAGAAAGCTCAAGAAATTTAAAAACTCAGGGTCTGCACAAAGAGAACACTGTAAAAAAGAATTGAAAATGAACAGAAATGCTAATCTGTCCATTTGGGTTTTACTCTTGTTTATAATGTAATAGTTGATAATACTTGACTAAAAAATCAGGATTTGTCATTATAGTCTTGAAATTCATACAAACTTTTTGTCAGAACCATTGCTGCTGTTCTATAATAAACCCTATTTATTTAGTAAAATTTCCATTCTCTTAAGCCTTTTTTTTAATGCCAGTTCAGAAAAACATTGCTGTAATCACCTCACTTCACTTCTAAAATTCCTTCCCTGGCTCCTTTCACCACTACATCAAATAAAACTACTAGTTCTTTTCCTGAGCTCGAGTGCCCACTGAACTCCACATATGTGAGTAATCACACACACAGGGCCATTCACATCCACATGGTTTTGCGCGTCTGGGGTGTCGGCTATTCATTAGCTCCTGACCTCACTTCATGGCTCACCCTGAACTATTCCCCAGCCTTCCTTTTGGTTCCTTGAGTGCAGGCTGTCCACCCAGAATTAGCTGCGAAAAGAAGCACTGTTATAAAATTCTTTCTTTGAATCCACTCCTAACATGATCCCTGTATGAAACAGCCAGTTAATAATGTCTAAATAAATGGCCAGGAGGAATTTGGGGATGAAGTCTTAGGTCCACTTAATTTACCGGGGCATCCACATCACTGTTACAAAGATTTTCTTCTTGAGCTTATTGTCTTATGCATGTGTACTTTAATTCCCCCACCCTCCTCCAGCCCCCAGTATTACCGCTTTTCTTTTTAATTGTTTTTACCCTCCTTGTTATATCTAGATACATTCAGCATGGCTGAAACTGACTGTATTAGGTCCTTTCATGTCTTCCCCTTTCCCTGATGGAATTAATCATAAATAGCTATTTCAGAGAATATTTTCTCTAAGAAATGCACATGTCTAAGGATAACTTTGTGGCTTTTGATAAAGGGACATTGCTGTGAGCTGTAAAGGCTTCATGAAATCAGGAGGGCTGACAGCAGAGTCCTTTGTTTTATTGCAAATATCTAAGACCACATAACTGATATATGGCTGGCTTCACATATGGCTTGTCTTTCTTGCCAAGTCTACTGGAAGACAAGAAGACTGATCCAAGAGTTATTTTTTGCATGTGCTTGGAAGTCCTGATTGCAGATTCCTCCTACAGTGGGGGGACACTATTTCAGTATCAGTTTTATTGCACTATGCTAAGATTTTACATCATTAACCCTATATGCTGTGCCTGGCTTTAAAACAGTAATAATAATAATAATAGAGGAAAAAAGAGCCAAGTCTAACAGTTAAAAGTACTTATTCTGTTTTTAATGTTACAGGCAAAGCTTCCATTCACTAAAAGGGGACTGAGATTCCACTACTGTCCCTGAAGGGCAGTTAAAAATGACAACTTAGTTTGATAATGCTCTCTTTAAACTGCATGTGTTACAATCTTCTGTGCTGCACCTTCCCCCTTGACCTCGTGAGCGCACCTTCTGGCTCAGCCCAGTAGTGAAATACCAGGCAGTGAGGAAGATCTGATGGACATTAATTCCCAGCGACAGCTCACGTTCTGAGTATGGGAGGGTTACTCCCATTGTTCTAAGAAGAGCTTTTCTGTATTATCTGTGGTGCAATAGCTATTTGCTGCTTCTCCACATCTGTATTGCACAATGATAATTTGGGAAACAAAGCAGTTCTGTCATGTTTTTTTCTTCTGATTTTTGTCAGTTTCGTTTTTATTTTTGTTTTACTGCACCTGCATTGCTGAGTGAGTTTTGCTAATGTAATCTTAGTAGCAATTGCTTTGAGGTTGTCAGGCCAAAGTGTGAGGTGTGAGAAAGAAAAAGAAAGCTCTGTGAGCCAACAAACAACACAGATATGTAAAATAATAAAAAAAAAAGAATTCAGATAATAATAACTTATTTCTTACAGTCAGACTCCAAAGCAGAGCTTGATGCATTTGCATCCTTTCGTCTTACTTCTATATGAATGTGAGACAGGCCGAGAAAGACTTGATTAGATTTCTCAAAAGTTTTTCTTTGGGCTAGTGTAAATTTCACTGATGTGATCTCCTTAGCAAGTCTTTTGAGCAATGCAAACATCCTACTTATGTCCAGTGTTGCTAAAATGCTGAACACCCTTCTTACGGCCCACCTGTTGCAATTGCTGTCCAGACAAATGCACACAATATCATTTTTTTGTCTCCTTTCACTGATGAAAGATTTCTCTTACATCATAGACAATTGCTTCTAGTTCCCAGAAGTTGTTCAGTGACTGTGATCCTGAAGAAAAGGACACAGACACATTGCAAATCAGACCAACTCACAGGGTTCCTTTGCTATTGGTTTTGTATGAACACAGGATAACAGAGCTTCCAGAAATGCATGACTATTATAAACAGTGCTTGTTTGCCCATCTAAGGAGAGACAGCATCAAAACCTTTTTATGACCACGTGTTTGAAATCACACATAATACACGGTTTTGCTTTTATAAACAGCACCGTGTTTTTTTAGTACACAGCCTTGTGCAGTTTTATAAACAGCACAAGGCTCCTGCAGTACAATCCAGAGACTTCATTCCTGTGACTGGCGCAAAAGGCCACAATATCAGTTGCAGAGATGGAAGCAGGAGTCCTGAGACCAAAATGCCTTTCATCAAATTTAAACACGGAATTATAGGGATTTATTTTATTCTTTTTAATGGAGGAAATTACAAGAGGCAAGAGACTCAGAAGAAGAAATGGAAAGAGAGTGAAGCTGACACTAACCACTAGTACATGCAAACAGGAGCAGCAGGAAACACAGAAGACACTTAACGTCAACTGCTGTGGAAGAAGAAAACTACAGCCACTCTTGAAGAGGAGGATGTACAGTTATACTTGGCAACTGCTGTGAGAATTGCTAATATGTGTAGCTGGCTGAGACAAGAACGAACCATCTTGTTGGCACCTTTTCTGTCAGGGAAGGCAATAGAAGCCAATCTAAGATGGATTACGGATACTCAAAATACAAAAACCAGCAATGATC